AAACATCGTGTTAAATTTTGATTTTCTAAATAAAGTGAAAGCTGAAATAATTATAGTACTCAAAATGATTTAAATATCAATCAATATGGGTTCGACACTCTTACTCTAATAGTATATTACAAAAGTTGACATCGTACACTTGCAGTATAAATCATGTTGCATAAAACGTGTGACAGTAGATATTAAAGCTAAATACTCACAAGTTTTTGATAACCAAGGTAAATTTGTAGGACGAAATTTTTTAAAGAGAGGAGGATGTTATACCCAAAATATTTGTACAATATATTATGAGGGATAACTATACGTTTTGAAATTTTAGGGTGACTAAGCAACTTAACCATTTTCTAGGATCTTGTGTTAATATTCCTAATAATTGAATTTATATGAGTTTCACATAAAATTAAATTTGGGACATCTATTAAATTATAATTGAATTATCTGATATGAAAGTATTTAAAGAAGGTTAGAATTTTATCATACCTATGAAAATAAGATTTTTAACGAAATTAAAATTTAATGTTTGGATATGTGTTGAATTATTATCGGATGATTTAATATAAAGGTGTTTAGATAAATTTAGGATTTTAAAATATTTATACTAGAATATTATCCTCATGTAATTAAATTTTATTTGATAAGGTTGTTTGTTGAGAGTCCAATTTAAATTCGAAGTATATCATTATCATTATCACACCTATAAATATCCTCTTATTGTGCACTTTAATTCATGCAAATTTAGAGAGGTAGAAAGAAAGAAAAAAAACGTATGAAAGAAAGAGAGAGAAAGGAAAGAAAAGAAAAGAAAATTTTTCGGCGTGTTTGAGATTCGTTCGCCAGAATTTTCAATCCTAAATAGCTCAAGCACACAAGGAATTTAACGAATAGGTATGAATTTCTCTAAATACCGAGTGATTTTGTGTTTTCACTTTTTAATGTTTTAAGCTAAGTATTTTATGTGCTATTATGTGATCCAAACTAAAGAAAGATGTTGTGGGAAACACCATGGGGGCACTAATATGTAGATCTACACGAAAACCAGCCACATGGTTAAATACCCTAAGTGGAGATTGAGAATGAGTATGATTTAAGTGAGAATGAGACGATCAGTTTTTTATCCTACTAAAAAAGTTATGTTATGTAAGTATTTTACTTGCTTTTCATATTAAATCATGAAAATACTGAGATGAAATCTATACTGAGTATATTCATATGCTCATTCCATATTTTAAATTATTTTTACAGACATTTGATGGATCGGAGTTGGAAGTTGAAACCGCTGACAGAGTCCGTGTTGCTAGATCAAGAATTTAAGATTTTCTTTTAATATTTAGTATATAGCTAGAAAACATTTTTTTAGTTAAATTAGAATTTTTTTTTTAAATCAATGTTGAATTTTTAAAAAATAAGTGCTAAATTTATATTTCATTAGTGGTTTAAATTTATGTGACTTTTTATGAGACAAAAAATAGTTTAGTGTATTCCGCTACGTTTCTTCAAATTTTTTTATATGTTATAATGCGTCAATAAACTTTTATAATGGTTAAAGCGATTATTCAAGTAACCTCTGGTGCATAGGTTTTGGGGCATTACAGTCTTACTATTTCCAAACACGTTTTTGTAATTTTATGATGTTTGCCTAATTTTATAGATAATATGATGACGATGAACATTATATTTTGAAATTTAATATTAATTTTACTTTGATGTTAAATATTTGTTTAGCTTGATTGATTGTTAGGTTATTAATGCTTTCAGTTACTTGATCAATAATTGAATGAATTCGTGATTCTTTTTCTTGAGGGAAGGAATAGGAATTGTAGTAAGTAGTAACAATCTGACAAAAAATAAATAAATATACCAATATGTTTTGCATGACATGGTTGTATGTGGAAATATATTTAACATTACTCAAGAGAGATTATTAAATAAAAAAATTGATCGTACAAATATAACAAGGTTATATGTGGAAATATATTTGACATTAAAAGGGAAGAATATAGGGAATTTCATTTATTCACATTCTTCGTACAAATATAGGGAATTTCGTTTATTCACTCAAGAGAGATTAATTAACTTTAATCCATTTTCATTTATTCACACTCTTCGTACAAATATAACAAGGTTATATGTGGAAATATATTTAACATTACTCAAGAGAGTTTATTAAATAAAAAAATTGATCGTCGAGTCTAAATAATTATTGTCAATTACTTGGGTTGATATTAAAATGGAAGAATATAGGGAATTTCGAGGTCCTATTGATTTTAGTTAAAAGAATGTTCATAAACGCTTTGTGGTTTAGTTTAACGCTTTATATTTAGTTAGTTCATAGAGTTTGAATATTCAATCATAATCACCATACAATTTTGCTATTTGAGTTAAAGTTAATATTAAGCAAAATATGAGATCCTCGCGAAAATGATAATTCGGACTCTTAGATCAATTTATTACTTATTATGCTTCTCTGTACTTGTGTGAGATTTTAGCATAACATGGTTGGCGTGAAGTACTAAATATGTTTAAGCAATATATAATAAGATTATAACTCTTTTTCTTCTTTAATATATAAATAGCCCCTATTTAATAGGGATTAAAATCATATTTTTAGTAAATTTTAATAAAAAATTGATAAAGTTGTGGATCAATATTTGGTTAAAATTAATTGTCGATTTTGGTTTTGAATAAAAAAACAGGAGCACAAATGATATTGTTTACTTCACTTCACTATGTTTGAGACGTTGACACTAATCTCCACCACTTGATAAATGAAAATTTCATTCTTATATATCTCGATTTTCTATTATCTTGACAAAATACGAAAGAGTGATTATAATGAAAAAAAAAAAAAACACTAATCTATCAAGATATTTTAATAACTTGCAGTTTCACACCTTGCTTGGTGTGTCTGTTGTGTTTGATTATTCCTTGTGTTTAGCATGTTAATATTCCAAACTTGTGATGATGATGAAAAAAAAGAAAAAAGGCACCAAGTGGGAACAAATCATATTACAATTCCAAGCTTGTTAAAGTTGCTTAAAATAATTCTATTTGTGTTATACACAACACTAGGATTCGCACGAGATACATGTAAAAGTGTATATAATACGATTGTAATCAATTATAACACTAGGATTTGCATGAGATACAAGTTAAAATGAATTTTGACAAGACGCTTTTACAACGATTATGCTATATGTATATAATGATTTACATATAAATGATGTAGTGAAATATGATTGGCTCATAATTTTTTCAACAAAAAAAAACTTCTCTACCGTCTTTTTGACATTTCATCTATATATAAACCATTTTGTAAATCTATTATATACACCATCTTTTTGTTGTTTAAGTCGAACTTTAATATTTTACTGAAACTCATCGAGAGATCAAGTCACATCCTTTTAGATAGTTTAATGGAACTTATTTACTTGTTAACTCTAAGTGCTAACCTTTGTTCTACGGCCGTGTTACAATTTCTTGTGAACTCTACTAACAAGTTACCAAAATATTGTATCTTAAGCTCATTGTGCTTCTGGTCAAATTAAATATTTCTTGAGTTTGTAATCTTGCTCGACTTTACAATGTACCAAAGAGTATACAATATCATACTCTAAAAATGGAGAAGAGAAGCAAAAGAGGAAAACATTATAATGGAAGAAGAGACAAAATTATAACTCTGGATGGCTGGAAAGATAAAATTTTATTCTGAAAAGCATAATCTTTACTATGTAAAATTATTCTATGCTTATCATTTGCTCAAAATTAAGTAGGAAGTTTTCTAAAGTGATTTACAAAATTAAGTTTGTCTAAGAGATTCCCTTCTTATGACATGTATAAATATAAGACTAATTCATATGTCATACAATAACAAAACATAATTTTCTTATTACTCCAACACTGTACTTTCCAAGTCTATGCACAACATAAAAATGCAAGGCTTACCCTGGGAGCGAATGGTAACATTTTCCTTAAAACTTTTTTACTTTGCGTTTTTGTCTTTTATTGGTTATCATAATGTCCGATTGTTAATATAGGCACATTTTACTACTAGCTAATTAATCTTAATCCTTATTGCTTATTAATTAATACTGTGTTACACAAAAAATAATCATAAATTGTTCTTTCAAGAGAGTGTTATATATAAAATTAAGTCCTTTAAACGAGAAAATAATATATACGGGATACAAAAAGTCTCGGCAATTTCTAAATCTAATTTCATTGTAATTTCATATACGTAACAATTCTCCACCAAAATTCTAGTTCATTCACATAAATTCTCAATATGAAAGATGGTACATATTTGTAAGTTAATTATTTTAGAAAATAGATAGGTCTGTGTAGGGCATAGTAAAAAGGTTGGCCCAAAAAAAAGTTTTAGTTCATCCCAAGTGGAAACTTTATCTCTACTTGCTCTACCCATTGTTTCGACTATTGTTTTTGCTAATTGACTTAGTATTGTGTTTTTGTTTTCATTGACTTTCTTTTTCATAATTTTTTTTTTCAATTTGATGGCTGGGCCTATAAAAGAATAATTTATTTTGTGGTTATTAACAGCCCGACCTGAGATACGAATCGAGTCGGATCGATCTAACTTAAGTGGTTATGGTGCAGTAATGGTAAGACCAAAAATTTGGTGGTTCGGTGATGATTTTGACCCAATCGAACCGTTGCCAACCCTAAATTTAGGTTCTATGAAAAAAAAAAAAAAAAGTGTGTGTGTGTGTGTGTGTGTGTGTGTGAACTAAAAGCATGTGTAACCAAAATAAAAAATGAAAAATGAAAATCTAAGCTTTACCAAACATTCAACCCGATCTTTTTGATATGGTAAAATATTTGGTATCAATTTTATAATGTAAAATTTGTATCTATACTTGATAGGAAACCAATGTCTTGTTAATTTTAAATAATGAAAGACTATAAATTTTATTTTGTTCGACTTTCACCATCCTATCATCAAATCTCCACGTTGATGGCCTATATGCCACTGATAATTGCTTGATGTTGGTTGTTTGATGTTGTCATCAAGTTCATTTATCATTAAGTCTTAACATGTGTATCATTTTCGTGTACAAATGTATAATATCATATTTATTCAAACTGTAGTATCAACAAACACGACGCTTTACCAAAATTTCCAACCTAATAATATGTGCAGACGCAATTTCATGCTTGCAACAAAATTAGAGTGGATGAGTGGTTAATCAATATAAAGAACTATGTTGAAGACACAACAAAGAAACAGCGAATAGAAAAGGTTCCATCAATGCTGCGTGAGGTTGAATCCAACAAAAAATGTTATGTTCCTCTCGTAGTTTCAATAGGCCCTTATCATCATGGAAATCCAGAGCTCGAAGCAGTAGAGAAGCTAAAATTTAAATTTGCAAATCAATTCTGCCTTGCCTGTGGTGATCAAATATCTATCAATCAATTATATGCAGAGGTGGCGAAGGTGGCTGACAGTGCCCGAGAATACTATGAGGAAGGCACAACTACATGCTATGACAATGAATCGTTCACCAAAATGATGTTTCTTGATGCCTGCTTTGTGCTTCAATATATGTACATCTTAACAACGATAAAACCAAAAGAAGAAGATCAACTACCCACAATGAAGAGTTACCTCAGTGCTTTTGTGTGGAGGGACTTGTTCTTGCTAGAGAATCAAATTCCTTTACTAGTACTAGAAGTTTTGTTGAAATCCAGGTTCGGAGATAATACAGAGTTGATTTCGGATTTCCTTGACCTTTTCCCAAGGCCACCTGAAAAAACTTCATGCACTAATTTGGTCAAGAAATTTGTCAATAAAAGCTGCTGTGATGCGGTCAAGAAATTTGTCAATAAAAGCTGCTGTGATGCGGTCAAGAAGTTTGTCAATGACCACTGTCCTGGTGGTCAAACAAACGACAAAAGAAAATTACAATTGGATGCAAGCCCTCACCTTCTAGACCTAATGAGTAAACATCTCGCCGGCCTAGCTAAGCCTAATCATAAAGAGGGAACCATGGATGAATCAGATCAATGGAATTCCTATCGTTCAGTAACAGAGCTCGAAGAAGCGGGAATTCGTTTCAGAGCAAGTAAAACTCATTGCGTTACTGATGTAATGTTCAAAGATCACCTTGTTTATGGAACTATGATGCTCCCTCCTTTGTTCGTTGATGATACAACAAAACCTTTGCTATTAAACTTAGTGGCTTATGAAATGAGTCCTAATGGCCCTCATGATTCTCACATTACGTCATACATTTGGCTAATGGATTCACTCATTGATCATGCCAATGATGTTAAAGAGCTCCGAAAGAAGGGAATTCTTGTCAACAATCTAGGCAGTGACGAACACTTGGCCACACTCTTTAACGAGATAGCTGATGGTTTGGTACCTGATCCTTACGCATATGCATATGCTAAGGGGAAGATTGACACGTATTGCAGGAATAAATGCCGGTATTGGATAGCTGAATCGATGCACAAACATTTCAGCAGTCCTTGGACCGTCCTTGCCTTTCTAGGTGCAATTTTTGCCCTTGCCCTTAGTACGGGGCAGACATATTTTTCTGCTTTTCCACGATCCTAAGGAGACAAGCATCTCCTACAAGGAGAAGCTCTTCATTTGCAAATGTTTTTTTTTTTTTTTTTTTTTAAATTTTTTTTTTTTTTTTTTTTTTTTAACACTGTTCGTTTGGGTTTTTTTGTGTGTTGGTTTTTTTTTACTATTCATTTGGGTTTTGTTGTGTACTTAATGAACTCCTCGTATGTTGTTGTAATGAATAACATTTAATTGAAGATATTAACAAATTATTCAAAAGAATCATCCTTTCTCTCATGTAAATTTCCTAAAACTACCGTTTTTTATAGTTTTCATCTTGTGGAAATTACATGCTACGGGACCAGATTTTGGATCACTTTCCATTTTTTTTCCAGTTGAACCGACGAGCCCAATTTGATTCTAGGATAAAATTTCTCTCCACTTAGTATGTCACTGTCCATTTAAAGCAATCAAAATAAATTCCTATTTTTGTGGTATTGTATGTGATGTGCATGTTTAATCAGACTATTTGTTTAATTCCCTAATCATTGATTTTTACTGTAACTAATCCTGCAAGAGGCGGAGCAAGAAATTAAATCAAGTGAGGGGCAAGATTTAACTGCATTAAAAAAACAAAAACAAAAACAAAAACAAGGCAATACTACAATAGCATTATGGATGGATATGTTGAGAATAATGGAGTACTGAGATCGTCAATTCAAGGATCTTCTGTCTGATAATGAACAAGCCTTAATGTCTTAAATTACGATATTAAGCCTCTTGCCATCTTCCGGGTAGAGAATTCTAGGTGTAGTGTAACTAAAAAGTATATCCATATGGCAGAATTAGTATAGCTGTGAAATGAGTTTTATAATACTAAAGAATTTTAGTTGATCGAGTGTTGAGAAAGACAATATATACAGTATACATGCCAATGTTTCAGTAATTACAACATTGGAAAGGAAATATTCTAGGACTACAGCGGAAATATTCTAGGACTACAGCCAATTTTTGGGTGATTGCTTATTGTCTTGCCATGTTGTCTGGTAGTTTTCAAATGTACACCAGATTATTGCTACAATCATGAGAATCTGTTCTATGAAAAAGGAGAAAAGGAAAAATATGTTTTAGATTTCCAGAGGCTTCATGATTTGGGTTGCATTTAACTTGGAGATGAGGCAGAAATACGTCCACCGGAAAACAAGTTGAGTCTGACCGGGAGAGTATTTTTTTTTTCTTTTTCTTTTTCTTTTTTATTCTTACTAACTTGTGTTCATCTTTTATTTTTCACTTTTTATACTTAGGATTGTATGGAGATAATAGAGACATGACGAAATTTTGAAGTAGAGAAAATCCAGTAGACATAGCAGGCAGAGAAAATGAAATTAACAGCTTACTAAAATGATACCGATGGACTTAACTGGCACAAAAAATTACACTTCTGTATGGAAAGATATGATTATATGTTCTGTAGTTATGTACAATGATAAGCTCAGTCAACATAATCCTTCACTCAGAAAGAGGAAACTCAAAAAAGATGCGATGAAAAGAAGCTAACTCGTACTGCATTTACTTAAAAGGTTAAAGCAATAAAGAGATATCGCACCTAGGGTTGACATACAGGGATGAAAATTGTGGGCTCTCTGTCTTTATCTTTACAGAAGGAGCAGTGCCTTTTGCCATGATCTCTATCCTAGAAGTATTGTTGGAATGAGCAAAAAGAGAGCCCGAAAAGTATGAGATGTATAAGAAATAGCCCAGGTGACAAGAATCCATGCCAATGACGAGGTTTCAAGTCGAAAAAAGCATTAAAAGACCTTCGGGTGGCTTGTAAATCAAGCTTGAGAAGAATGTCCATACCAAAACAAAAGAATTCGCTTAGGCGTCTACTTTCTATTGGCCAGAGTCATTGCCAATAGTTTGCCACCATATACCCAGTCAACGGGTGCACCATCCCAGCTGTACTGCCAATCCCAGCAACTCTCTGAGGTAAAACTGGAAGACGGCCCCCCATTGGAATTACACAATGCTCTTCCTCTTCAATGCTTCTAATATTTATACCTAAGTGACTCAGCCGAGCTACCATTCATTCCTTAAGTGTCATCCACAGGAACTCCAGGACGAGCTACAAGGGATGTTTCTTCAAGGAATATTCTTTTCGATGAAAATAGCGTTGCACAGAGAAAAGTTGGAATCTTGCTATTTCTCTCCTTCAGCTCTTTATTATTGTTGAGATGTGAGTCATTCCAATCCATGAAAACCATTTTATTTACATCAACAGGGTGTTCTTCCACTTCTGCTCAAATCCTGTAAGCTATACAAGGCTTATCATACTGTGCAAGACATCTGGAAAATCCGGTCGCATCAAGAACCACAGCAGCAGCCTGAATGGTAACACCATCATCGCAAATCAACAAAGATTTTGATTCCTAGTGAGTTACTTTCACAATCTTAGCTTGATGAAATTTGACGCCATTCAAAATGAATTTCTACATCATTTTCGATTTCAGCTGGTTCCTGTTAGCCTCCCACGAGGTCTATCAAGATCTTTAGTTGTCTTGTCGTCAATGAAAACCATAGCACCCGACCAGGAGGCGTCAAGACAATCCAACAAATCCGTGCCCTCAAATTCATCAACCCAAACAACGTAATTATTGGGGCCATATCAATTTGGGTAAAGGATCAATCGAGCAAACTCATAGCCCAGCTTCTGAAACATGCTGTGCGACCGCTAGTCCTGCAGGGCCACCACCTACAACAGCTAGATCCACCACAAGGCCCTTAGAAGGATCATACATGGGAATCTCAAATTCAAAATTTTCCTGGTTTCAGGCACAAGTTCCAAAAGGGTACTAGAACTGGCGTTAACACAAACACTTTTCCCCAATTTTATATGTTCTCTTTTCGAATCAAACCTAACGTCCTGATTCTGAGGCTTCAAGGAACCAAAGGCGCTAACTTTATTTGCAAACCCTTGACGTGGGTGCAAAAATTTTAGCTTATTATGAGTTTTAAAAAAATAATAATAATAAATAAATTTCAAATGGGTCGCTTAACTCTCGAAAATGACAATCAAAATTCCACGAATTTCTTGGATTCTCAAAGCAGAGCTATCAACTCATTGCAATAATTGATGAACAAATTCTGCATATACAAGATTTAAGGCAATAAATAATGGTACAAAAGAACTGGAGAAAATAAAAATCTCATAAAAAATATTCAATAAATCCCCTGTCAACCAGTTGTGGAATGTGACCAGAACTGCATCTTTGGCATGAGTAGAATAGTTTTGAAAAATAGGCGTTGCACCATCCAACTTAGCTGTATTTAACATTGATTTTCCTTCATCAGCGACGAACAGAAACCGGAGTATCTTAGCTGGTTTAGGTCCCCTTTTCCCTGGGAGTCCCGAGAGTTCCACGGTTTTATCTTCTTCTTCCTCTACCGAAGAGATCCCAGCATCATAACGTCTAAACAACGCTAAGCTCCCATTGATGGCCATTATATAAATAAAATAATAATAATAAAAAATTAAATAGTAAAATTTTGAAAAATATGCGGTTGAAAAATAGAAAAGTCTTGAATTTACTTGCATTATGTTTTAACGGGTAAATGTGTAAATGAAAACGACTATTAAAAAAAAAAAAATTAAAAAAAAGGCCCATCAAATATGGTTTAAACCTCATTTGAGGCCCCTTTTTGGGTTTTGGCCTAATGATTTTTGAGAAAATTGTAGCAGCGGTCCCTAACCTTTTATTTTTTGCAAACCTTACTCTAATTTTTAATTTATGCCAATCACAGTCCCAAATTTTTCAAAAATATGCATTTGAAATCCAAATGGATGGAAACCGTTCATCTGATCGTTAGTTGACCAATAAAATTGAATTTTTACCAATTTAAAAGGATAAAAAGACAACTTTGCTATTTAACCCTATAAAACAATCAAAATAAATAATTAAAACAAAATAAAAATAAAAGAAAAAAACTATTCACCTCCAACCCCATCCCATTGCCGAATCCACCTAAACAAGACCTTCGCCTCCGTCGAACACCGCTATCCATAGGGTTGAGATCCGAAGAGCGCAATTTCTCCTTCAAAATACTCTCCGTCATGGAAAACAGTGACATCTCGTCCACCACCATCTCCACTTTTTCCTGCTCCAACCTCGATCGACCTTCCCTCCAGCATCATCACCCACTCACACTAACTGCAAGAAAAAGAAGAGAAAATAAAAGAGGAACGATTTCGGCGTCTTCTCCAATTTCTGAGAACTCCGAAACAAATGCGAATATATAAATTATTATATCCTTGGCGATGAATATAAGAGTAGAAAATTTAGTTATACTGTGGTGTAGACGGAGAGTGCCATTGTGCACGTAGCGGAGAAAAGGGAGAATGATAGTGCAACGAGTACAGCTACTGGCTCACCTCTAGTGGGTCACCTCTATTTGGAGAGTTGAGGCGGAGGTCTTGTTTCAGTGGATTTGGGCGGTGGTTTTGGGTGGGGTGAAGAAAGAGGCGAATAGTTTTTTCCTTTTATTTATTTTTATTTTGTTTTAGTTATTTATTTTAATTGTTTTATAGGGTAAAATAGCAAAATTACTCTTTTACCCTTTTAAATTGGTCAAAACTTAATTTTATTGGTCAACTAACGGTCAAATGAACGATTTCGATGCGTATATTTTTGAAAGGTTTGGAACTGTGGGTGGCACAAATTGAATGTTATGGTAAAATTTGCAAAAAAAAAGTGAAAGATTAGAAATAACTGCTACAATTTTCCCATGATTATTTGGGAAAATGTGGTAAAAAAAAAGCTTTAGGTATACGTGTAAAATTATTTTATGAAAGAATGTGCGATTGAAAATGAGTTTGAAAAAAATAAGGTTCAAACATGGGCTAAATGTATTTGATCTATGTTAAATGAATAGACACTTGCACTTTTGTTTTGTTATGGACTTGTATTACTTTGTGAGTTGTAATTTGTGAACTCTGATGAGTTTGTGATATTTAAATTGTATTATATTTGTAACCTGTGACTTTTTATTTATATGACCTCTAACTATTGTGTAACTTGTAACTGCATTTGTGAATTGAGACATGTAGTATGTGTGTGACCTATGACTTCTGACATTTAATGTGCATGTGACCTGTCTCATTGCTACTTTCATATGTAAATTTTTATGGATCACCAAGCACAATGGCCTTCAATACTCTTGCTATGACATCGCCTGTAACGATCCAAAATTTAAAGATTTGGAATCGTTACCAAAAACATTTATTTCGTAATTAAATAAATGATGTCAAACATTCTATGGAAAACATAATTAACTGAACCATGTTTCAAACATTAAATTTCAAATTTAACATGATGATAAAATTGAAATAACGCAAAGAAAAATAAATAAATAAAACTTCCTAATCATGTTACTCAGAATTTATTTATCTTGAATTCCATAATTTCTGGCATCACAATTCCACCACACCGCTCGCCAACAAACGACCCGTTCTAATCATCATATCATATCTTTAGAACCGGTAAGAGCTCATGTCGTATCATATCATCTCTTTGGTACCGGGTTGCCATTTCAAAATATCATAATCATATCATAACTTTTATGAGTATAACATTTATCAACATGAATAAATAATTTAAACGAGACGAACCACTTGCACATCGTAATCCTACATCGTAAGATTGAATAAATTCTTGAAAGAAGAAATCCAAAATTATGTTCCAAATCTTGTAGTTCTTTCTTGGCTGCCTTAGAGTGAAAACTGCCTTTCGGGACCCTTTTTGTTCATTATTTATGCTGGAAACAATTCCCAATTTGAAACTGCCGTCTACATATACATATGCTGTGTGGAGTATTTTGGTGCAAATAGAATTCTAGAGTGGTGAAAACGTGTGCCACAAAAAACTTGGATAAAGGCTTCAAATGATAAACTTATCCAAATAATTTAGGAAGACAGTTAAACATTTCTTATCAACGTGAAACGTGGCTAGTGGTGGAAAGTTATAATATATATTATTTGTGATTAGGATGGATTTAACACTAACCAAGTGGAAGGCTCAAAGACAAATACCCATTAAATTAATTAAAATACTATAAAACATCAAATTCTTTAAATGTCAATATCTTAGGCTTAAATTATCCAAATCAACTTTTTCTTGAGCCTAACATGCATGATTAATTACGATCTATCCAACGCGCCCAATATTCATATACAAATTATTACTCCGTCAATATCTACATTTTAACCCAAATGAAATTGAAATTTGCTATATACATTTTAGTCCCTAACTTTTGGAAATATTAAAATATAGCACACATAACTTAAATTCTATTTTATGAATTTTCGGGACATTACAATCTCCACTCCTTAAAATATTTTCGTCCTCGAAAATTTACCTTGGCTAATCGAAGAGCTCTGGATACTTGGTTCTAAGCTCTTCTTCCTTCTCCCATGTTGACTCTTCTCGTCCATGATTTCGCCATTGCACTTTGATCAGGGGAACTTCTCTGTTTCTGAGTTGGTGTACTTTTCTTTCCAGAATCATCGTTGGAATTTCTTCATATGATAGATCTTTTTGTACCTCCAAAGTTTGGTAACTTACCATATGATTGGGATCATGAACATATTTTCTAAGCATCGAAACATGGAATACATTATGCACTGCTGCAAGTTCAAGTGGTAAGGCAAGTCGATAAGCTACAACACCAATCCTTTAGAGAATCTCGAAAGGTCCAATAAATCATGGTCTCAACTTCCCTTTCTTTCCAAATCTCAATATACCCTTCATTGGTGCTACCTTTAGAAAAATCTTGTCGCCCACTTGAAATTCTAAATCTTTTCTTCTACTGTCAGCATAACTTTTCTGACGGTCTTGTGCTGCCTTTATTCTTGTTCTAATTTTATCAACTGCCTCAACTGTTCGTTCAATGATTTCAGGACCCAAAATTCTGCTTTCCCCGACCTCGTCCCAATGGATAGGGGATCTGCACTTTCTACCATAAAGGGCTTCATATGGGGCCATACCTATAGTGGCTTGAAAACTATTGTTGTAAGCAAACTCTACTAAAGGTAGGTGTATTTCCCAACTCCCTCCAAGATCCAGAATACATGCTCTCAACATATCTTCCAGAGTTTGAATGGTTCTTTCTGATTGTCCATCCGTCTGAGGATGATAAGCAGTGCTAAATTTCAGTTTCGTCCCCATGGCTATCTGCAAGCTTTTCCAAAATTTAGATGTGAACCTCGGGTCTTTATCTCAAACAATGGTGACTGGAATTCCATGCAATCTGATAATCTCTTTGATGTATAACTGTGTGAGCTGTTCCATGTTGAAGTTTACTTTGATGGTAGAAAATGGGCTGACTTTGTTAGACGATCCACCACTACCCAGATAGCATTGTGACTTTTTGTTGACCTCGGGAGGCCTACCACAAAGTCCATCGTTATGTGTTCCCACTTCCATTCTAGAATATCCAACGGTTTCAGTAGCCCTGTTGACTTTTGATGTTCTGCCTTGACCTGTTAACAGATAATACATTTTTCAACGAATAGACCAATTCCTCTCTTCATGTTTCTCCACCAAAATGTATCTTGGAGATCTCGATACATTTTCGTACCACCTGAATGTGCGGAATACGGAGTAGAGTGAGCCTCTTCCAATATCTCATTTCTTATACTTTCATCTTTAGGTACACACAACCTTCCTTTAAAAGTCAATACTTTATCTACAGATACCTCAAATCCTATACGCTTGTTTGTACCAATCTCAGCTTTAATCTTCTGTAAAAACAGATCCTTATCCCGTGCTTCTTTAATTCGATCCCGAAGAGTTGGTTGAATCATAAATGCTCTTATTCTTGCAGTAGTCTGAGTTGGCGGTGTGATAACTTCCAATCTTAGTTTCTCAAAGTCCCTTATCAAGTGTTCTTGCACCGTAGGTAAAACTGCTAACTGCGCTCCCGTCTTTTTGCTTAAGGCATCTGCAACTACATTAGCCTTACCCGGATGGTAATGAATTGTGCAGTCATAATCTTTCACTAACTCCAACCATCTCCTCTGCCTCATATTCAGTTCCTTTTATGTGAAAAAGTATTTGAGACTCTTGTGGTCTGTATAAATTTCACACTTCCCACCATAGAGATAATGACGCCATATCTTTAAGGCGTGAACTACTGTTGCAAGCTCCAAATCGTGTGTTGGGTAGTTTTGTTCATACTGCTTTAACTGTCTCGAGGCGTAAGCAAACACTTTTCCATGTTGCATCAATGCATAGCCTAAACCTTGTTTGGAGGCATCGCTGTAAATCACAAATCCATCAGAGCCATCTGGTATCGTCAATACAGGAGCTGAAACTAGTCTCTGCTTGAGTTCTTGAAAACATTTCTCACATTTTTCTGTCCACTGAAACTTCAGCCCCTTTCTCGTCAGTTGGGTATCGGCCCTGCTATTTTTGAGAAGCCTTCAATGATTCTTCTATAATGACCAGCCAATCCCAAGAAACTGCGAACTTCACCGACATTGCTCGGCCTTGGCCAATTTGTTACTGCTTCTACTTTTGTAGGATCTACTTCGATTCCTTGGGCGGTGACCACATGACCAAGGAAACCTACATGATCAAGCCAAAATTCGCACTTCTTGAATTTGGTATATAATTTCTCATTCCTCAAGGTTTCAAGTACTACTCGGAGTTGTTCCTCGTGCTGTTTCTTGTCTTTGGAGTACACGAGTATGTCGTCAATAAATACTATGGCGAATTGGTCTAAGTATTGATGAAACACTCTGTTCATGAGATCCATAAATACAGCTGGAGCATTGGTCAAACCAAAAGGCATGACAGTGAATTTATAGTGTCCATAACGAGTCTTGAAAGTAGTTTTTGGTATATCACTTGCCCTAATTTTCAGCTGATGGTACCCTGACCTCAAGTCGATCTTTGAAAACACTGTAGCACCTCTTAACTGGTCGAATAAATCTTCTATTCTTGGCAGCGGGTATTTATTTTTTATGGTCAAATGGTTTAATTCCCGGTAGTTAATGCACATCCTCATACTTCCATCCTTCTTCTTCACAAAAAGTACAGGAGCTCCCCAAAGAGATACACTTGGTCGAATGAAACCTTTCTCCAACAACTCCTCTAATTGTAACTTCAATTCTTGAAGTTCTTTCGATGCCATTCGGTACGGGGCCTTGGATACTGGTGCTGCTCCAGGAACCAAATCAATTGTAAATTCCACTTGCCTATCTTATGGAATGCCTGGTAAATCTTCTGGAAATATGTCTGCAAAATCTTGCACAATGTTAATATCATTAACAGTCGTTTCTGGATGTTGGGGACTGGTGATATTAACTAGAAATCCTTGACATGACTCTTTTTTCAACATCTTTTCCGCTTGAATAGTTGATACAAGACTAGGCAAAGACTTGAACTTTGCTCCAAAGAAACGAAATTCTTCTTCTCCCGATCTGTGAAACAATACTTCTTTCTCGTGACATCGAATGGTCGCATGATTAAGTCCCAACCAATCCATGCCCAAAATAACATCGAAATTTTTCATCTCCAAAAGGTATAAGTCTACTTGTAATATTTTCCCATCAATCTCTAACTTTATAGCCTTAGTCATCCGATTTGTACAAAGAGTTCTTCCTGAAGGGATGCCAACCTCTAATTCATAATTCGTTTTCACACATGCAAGGTTTAACCTAGCGACGAAGGATGTAGAGATAAAAGAATTGGTAGCCCCAGAATCAAAAAGTATGTAAGCGGGTACATTAGATAATAACAGAATACCTGTTTGTAATTATAGTGTTAGACTAGCAATTAAGGGACAGAGATAAAATAATGTATGGTCATAGGTAAAAAGAACATAAGCACGTATGTTGAAAATATTAATAGTAAGATACCTGCAATCACATTCGGATCCTGCTCCGCCTCATGCTGATTCAGTGCAAAAACTCGAGCCTTTGCTTTCTTATTCTTGTCTTGATCATCATCTTTCCTCTTTGGAGGCTCTGTGCAGTTGAGAGCAATGTGTTCGGGTTTACCATACCGGAAACACATGTTCTTCCCAAGTAAACATTCACCCCTGTGGAGTTTATTACACTTAGGATAGGGTGTAATACTCCCACTCGTCCCACCAATACGAACTCCTGTGCTTGGCCTTTTATTGTGCCAGTTATGTCTGTTCTTACCTTGATCACTCCACTTCCTTTTCCCCAACGACTCCTTGCTCTGCTGGGCATACTGTTCAAATGAGATCCTCTGATATGAAATAGCATGAGCCCTCTCCAACATTTCACGATATGAGGTGAAACGATGGGACATAATGATCATGCCGATCTCAGGGCGCAGTCCATTCTCGAACCTCCTAATTTTCTTAACTTCTGTATCCACCAAGTGCGGGGCATACCTTGAGAGCTGCTCAAACTGTCTTTCATAATCAGTAAGTGACATGTTCCCTGTCTGAGCTGCAGAAATTCTGATTCCTTGAAGTCCCTCAAAGCCTGTGGGAAATATATTGCCATCACTTCGTCTTTAAACTGCTCCCAAGTCAGATTACGTTGCTGCTCTTCCATCCTTGTACGTGAAACAGATTCCCACCAGTGACCAGCTGCTCCAATCAACATAAATTCTGCGCATAATACTTTCTGTGCATCCGCACAAGCAATGTGTCGAAATATGGGCTCCAGGCCTCTTATCCACTCTTCGACAACCAGTGGTTCAGAATTACCGTCAAAAGTGGAAGGCTTGTACCTACCAAACTGCTCAACCACTGAGACAGCTCCAGGGGCAAAATGTGGTGCATTCTGCTGTGGCGGTACATTTTGTGGTGGAGGTACTTGATTTTGCCTGCTCAACTCTTGTATGGCTCGTAGTAAATTGCGCATCAAATTCGTATGAGTAGGTGGTGCCATTTCCTAAAATTTAATATGAAGTTACGATCACATTTCAGCACTAAGTCTATCACGTTATACTTATTTTTATCGTAATACATATCATCAATTTAGTGGGAAATAAAGTGCATGTCTTAAAGATTTAGAAGTAGGCAATCTAAAATATTGAAATTATTGAAAACATCTAACTGCATTTATTTTCTTACTCTTTTACATACCTTAGAGTCGTTGGAGGGTGGTTGATTGATGGTCGTTGAGTGCCAAAGATCATTCACATATTTAATAACTTTAAATTATTATTATCGTTAAATTCATAAATTTTCATAAAAATATTAACATTTAACAAATTGCACAATGAAACAATTAAACATTTTATTACACGTAACATTTAAAACGTGTAAAATCCAATGTTTATATATATACTAGCAAATGCAATAAGTTCGACTAAACTTTTCTTATTATCATAATAATTAATTTTTAAACTTAAATTCTTTAATTCTTAAAACGGAAAGTTGGGCCGGTTACAAGTTTAATGATGCATTATTGACTTAATTCAAATAGTTACATCTACCTAATAGTCTTCTTATATCATGTCTATTAATGGATTAATTAAAACCAACTAAACTTTTGAGACCTTGCCTATGTTGAAAAAAAAAAAAAAAAAAAGATAAAAAAAAGAAAAAAAAAAAAAGGAAATCATTTGGGATTTTTGGAAAATTTATTTGAAATAACACCAATCAAGGAATCTTTAAAACTTTCTGTAGTTGCAATTTCATCATTTAGTTCAGGTGACATAGCATGTTAGAATCAAAATAACATGGCGATTGAAAATCAGTAATAATTAATTAAAAATTATAAACATGTCATTTAATCCTATTTTATCTTTTGAGGCATTAACATCTTTTGCTCTCATTCTACATTCCCATTTGGTCACAATTATATATATATATATATATATATATATATATATATATATATATATATATATATATTATATATATATATAACATTACTCAATTAAACAACTAACAATTAAATATTCATTACACACGACATTTAGAACACATACATACATACATATACATATTTATATGTATTTTTCATTTAAAATAATTTTCAAAATTTATTTTATTTCATTTTATTTACTTATTTATTTTCATTATTTTCATTATTATTATTTTAGAAGTAGCTAATGGGTCTATTTCGCACTTTTAGATTAAAGAAGAATAGGCTTCAAACTTTATGTAATAACCAAACGTGAAACAAAACACTCAAACACCCCTTTGAATTTATTTATTCATTTAGTTATTTTATATATATATATATATATATATATATATATACCTGAATCCAGAATTTAAAAAAATTTTTTTTTAACCACTTGTTCTTTGCTTGAATTCTTTTATGTAGATAAAAGTATATTAAATCAATATTAAAGGAAGGCTCTGACAGTCAATTCAAACATACCTAAAGATTATAAATTTCATTACCTACTTTCTTTATTTTTAAGAAAAGCACTTTTAATCATAACAGTTATGTCACAGTTCACATTATACAGTGATATGTGAACCATGACAATCACTATTCACGTCTCTCCATTTACTATATATATATAAATTTATCTACAGGAAATTAAACCTATGCTCTGATACCAAACTGTAACGACCCAAAATTTAAAGATTTGGAATCGTTACCAAAAACATTTATTTCGTAATTAAATAAATGATGTCAAACATTCTATGGAAAACATAATTAACTGAACCATGTTTCAAACATTAAATTTCAAATTTAACATGATGATAAAATTGAAATAACGCAAAGAAAAATAAATAAATAAAACTTCCTAATCATGTTACTCAGAATTTATTTATCTTGAATTCCATAATTTCTGGCATCACAATTCCACCGCACCGCTCGCCAACCAACGACCCGTTCTAATCGTCATATCATATCTTCAGAACCGGTAAGAGCTCATGTCGTATCATATCATCTCTTTGGTACCGGGTTGCTATTTCAAAATATCATAATCATATCATAACTTTCATGAGTATAACATTTATCAACATGAATAAATAATTTAAACGAGACGAACCACTTGCACATCGTAATCCTACCTCGTAAGATTGAATAAATTCTTGAAAGAAGAAATCCAAAATTATGTTCCAAATCTTGTAGTTCTTTCTTGGCTGCCTTAGAGTGAAAATTGCCTTTCGGGACCCTTTTTGTTCATTATTTATGCTGGAAACAATTCCCAATTTGAAACTGCCGTCTACATATACATATGCTGTGTGGAGTATTTTGGTGCAAATAGAATTCTAGAGTGGTGAAAACGTGTGCCACAAGAAACTTGGATAAAGGCTTCAAATGATAAACTTATCCAAATAATTTAGGAAGACAGTTAAACATTTCTTATCAACGTGAAACGTGGCTAGTGGTGGAAAGTTATAATATATATTATTTGTGATTAGGATGGATTTAACACTAACCAAGTGGAAGGCTCAAAGACAATTACCCATTAAATTAATTAAAATACTATAAAACATCAATTTCTTTAAATGTCAATATCTTAGGCTTAAATTATCCAAATCAACTTTTTCTTGAGCCTAACATGCATGATTAATTACGATCTATCCAACGCGCCCAATATTCATATACAAATTATTACTCCGTCAATATCTACATTTTAACCCAAATGAAATTGAAATTTGCTATATACATTTTAGTCCCTAACTTTTGGAAATATTAAAATATAGCACACATAACTTAAATTCTATTTTATGAATTTTCGGGATATTACATCGCCTACTTCTTGTTGGACTTGTTTGTCTGTGAACAGATCACTCAGCTCGCCTAAATTCATAGGCATTTAAGTGGATCCAACACCTAAATCAAATGAAGGAGTTTGAATAAGATCTTGATATGGAGGTTCGTTATCAGATTCCATCTTACTCTTGCTTTTCTAATGTTTTATTCTTCTATACAACAAAAATTTAAATGTCAAAATTAAACTAACGAACGGGAAAAAGCTTAGTAATCTCACAAACTTACTTCTTCAACATTTTCAGAATATCGACCAATTTGCACTCTACTTGTTTCAGTCATTTCTTTAGAATTTCCTCAATAGAACATGATACGATAGCAATCACAGAATCCTTAAACTAGTTCATATTCGACCTTCTCCCGAAGAAATCAAATTTAACATCTCTTTGAGAGCGGATAATATCATTCATTTGTTGATTTCTATCCAATTTCAATGCTAATATTTGAGACTTTTCATCATCTAGCTCCATCACCAACTCTATGTTTTTTAATTGTATAGATATTGAACTCCTTTTTGAATTTCTCAAATATCTATCAAAATACTTTCTCCAGTAGCATGGATTTAGGTTATCAAATGATCCGGTTATTTCCAAGTATGTATCATCCGCTGTGTTATCCGCCATCTCTGTGGTTGCTTAAACCTCTATCTCTCTAATGAACCCTCAACACAATGTATTGCTTGTGGTTCCATTGGAGAATGGACACCACATGAAGTCTTTTAGCGTCTTAGTGGGAGGTTAACAAATTCGTCATCAATGTCATTTGATTTTCGCATTCTTCTACCTATATTCAGTAGCAGCAATGTTGTAGATTTCTGACCTGATGATTGAACATTTGCACTTGTGCCTGCATGAGTACTCAAGTGATTGTGACCTAAATTCTCCTGGAAATGCACTTCACATGGAAGATGTCGTGGTTGTGATTTGGTGTGTGGTACACCACTCATATATGGTATCACCATATCCATGCCCAGCGGATCAATTCCATTTACTTCAATCTATTACCTTAAAAGCATTAAAAATACTTAGCATAGCAAATAGAATTTTTTGAATGACATTGCAACTATATTAGTCACAAATACATTTAAAAACTTACATCAAGATTGGGGAAAAAATAACTCTTCTTCCAATTTAGCATCCAAGGGATGCTTATCCGATATCCAATTCTTGATGCCAGGGTACCTACTTTGCATCATTGTGGTCATAGATCATTAAGACTTGGTATTGACTCATATAACCAACCCTGGAATGCTACTAGAAAACCTTTAAGCTTGTAATGGATAGATTTATTGCTCAACCCTTTTTCACATAACTTATAGCCATCTCAAACAATTCTTTCCTCCACGGAAACATCTCCATGGCCTCAAAATCTTTGACAAGTGCAAACAAATAATGCTCAACCACCTTTTTTGTACAACGTGGAGAACACGGCAGAACTCATGCAATAAAAATCGGATAAATCTCCCCGCAACTTTGAACCACATCTCCACGAGATTCAGTTGCTGACCCTCCATCAACATAAAGTAGTGTATCAATTGTGATTGATACAATTTCATAGCAATCCATGTAGTAGGAGAAACACATATCTATCAAAATCTCCCTTCGTGCATCATTGAATTTCGATGCAAAATTAGTTAGAACATTTTTTGCCGCATTGATTTTAATTCTTCTCGAAAATCAAAGATCTTCGAGGATAACGTATTGCCAATCCTGCAATCGAATATTCAATAAAATGTACGTCAATATCGAATAGAAAATGATAAAAAGGCTCAAATACTAGCACAACATTCAGGTCACATACATAGATAAAACATATAAAAAAAACATAGAGAAAACTATCTCGAATAACAAAGATATTTAAACACTTACATCGGGATTCGAAAAGAACTCTTCTTCCAATTTAGCATCCAGGCGATTATTATCTGATATCCAGCTCAAGATGTAAGGGTACCTACTTTGCATTGTTGTGGTTACTAGACTCTGAATTGATTCGTATAAACAAACCTGGAATGCTACTAGAAAACCTTTAGGCTTGTAATGGGTTGATTTATTGCTCAATCCCTCTTTAACATAACTTATAGACATCTCAAACAATTCTTTCCCCTATGAAAACATCTCCATGACATCGAAATCTTCAACAAGTGCAAACAAATAATGCTCAACCACCTTCTTATACAATGTGGAGAGCGGGTACAATATTAT